ATATCCCACCATCATCTCCACGAAGGGATTCAGGGCGGCTTGCAAGTGGGACCAAGCTCAACACAACAAAGTTTACAAACTAAAATACACATTTTAAAAATATAATACACAAATAACAATCTGGTTAAAACAATTAAAAGCATCTGGCTATGTCTCTGTATGCAGGCAGAAAGCAATTACATCATCAGCATATCAGCAGAGATCTCCCAGCATCTTCTGGGGGATCTCAGTAGTTGACATAATCATATTGAATTGAATTATGGGTATGCAGCCAGATTCCTCTGTGATTCCCTCTCCCCTTCACTCTTCTCCAGGCATAGGTGGCCATGGGTTCCTGGTAGGTCCAAGGAGAGCTTTGGTCACTGCAGAAGGAGGAAGGGAATACCAATCTTTGCAGTATCTACAAACGGACATAGACACAAGATTGACATGTGCATGTATATTCACTAGCAGGATGCCAGGCAATCTATATATATATAAGTCAAAGTATGCATATATGTATGTGTGTTTGTTCCACAAAGGCTCCTATGTGACTTGATCAATCTGGTCTAAACTTGGTGCACATTGTCTTCATGATCCAACTTAAAATACTGTTGGAGTTTGAACTAAAGATACCTACCTCATTAGGGCTCAAGGCTCCCAAATATGTATGTATCTGTGTCTGTTGCACTCAGGTGCAACCACAAGAGTATAGGGGCGGATCTAGACAGCCCCTTTATTACGGGAGTTACTGGAATAAAAAGGGGGCTGTCCAGATGACGTCCTGGATAAACCTACATTAATCCACCACAAACCAGGAAAACCCTGGTTTGTGGCAAATTAATTTGAAAATGGGTTTATTCCGCGCCTTCTTGGAAGGCATGCAATAAACTCACTACTTCCAGTGTCTTCCAGTCCAGACAGTATTTCCACAGTTTTCCAGACTAAATTAGCATGCGCCAGAAGAACTCTGGCAGCCGTCCTATGAAGGCCAGGTGAGTTCTTTTCTTTTAAAACTCTGTTTAGAGGGCTTTTGGGGAGAGGATTATGGTGTCCCAGTGTTCTACAGGGAAGTCCCAGTAAAACATCTGGACACCCACTCAAGAAAGCGTGCACTTTCTGGGATGTGTGTGGACAGGGCCCCAAGAACATTCATGTTTTGAAAGCACAAATGCTCCTGGGCTAAAGCCCTGTCTGGAAAGGCCCTAGGTAACACCAGGAGCATGTCTAGAAATACAGTCCTAACTTTTGCCAGCCATATAATATGGGCTGTTACTTTTTATTCAATTTCACAAGATCATCCAAGTACCCATAGAAAAAAATAACTTTATATTAACATTCTCAAGCATATTCTACAATTAATGCTTAGAATTTTCCCTGTAGTAAAAGGTTCATGCTCCTAGAAAGTGACTTTCATGCCCATGCTCCAAGATTGGGATTTACCCCTAAGTAAGCATTATAGGAAGGAGCCCCCAGTGGCGAAATGGGTTAAAGCACTGAGCTGCTGAGCTTGTTGACCGAAAGGTTGCAGGTTCGATTCCAGGGAGTGGTGTGAGCTTCCGCTGTCAGCCCCAGCTTCTGCCAACTTAGCAGTTCGAAAACATGTAAATGTGAGTAGATCAATAGGTACCGCTCCGGCAGGAAGGTACCACACCATGCAGTCATGCCAGCCACATGACCTTGGAGGTGTCTACAGACAACACTGGCTCTTCGGCTTAAAAATGGAGATGAGCACCACACCCCAGAGTCGGACACGACTGGACCTAGTGTCAGGGGAAAACCTTTACCTTTACCTAAGCATTATAGGAGAGGGTAGCTATGTGGGAGGGCCTTGCTGGATAATGCACAGCCATATTAAATTTTGCATGTCGCCGTCATTTAAATTCTACTTGCAGCTGATTTTGGAAGGGCTCAGCAGCACTAAAGAGTCTTTGCACAGAAGGAAAATGAGAGCATTTTCACACAATGAAGCGTAAAGCAGCTTTTGTAATGAGAATGTAAAAGAGACATGGGCCACCAGGATGTTCATTGTATTACCAACGCTGCTTCTCCTGTTTTCCCTTCCATAAAACAAGATCAGATATTCAAAGTTCAAAGACGATAGAAGTACCATGTATGAAATGTCTTTAGGTCCAATCTTTAAAACAACAGGTTACAGTAACTGGCCCACATTATAGCTGTGCAGGCAAATAGCATAATATTTGGGAAACACTTTATGAACTGTGATGATAAATAAACACTCACTGCAATCCTGTATTACCTGTATGTATTACATAGTACTATAACTGCATATAGCACTATAACTACAACCATAACTATGTAGTCAATTCCAGCAAGACATGCACACACAAATCCTACTTACCGAACTAGGATCAAGAAACAGCTGCCTGATGTTCCCATCCCCTCCTTTAAGTAATATCTAGCATAACAAGCAGAAAAATGACCCATCACAAATCCCCCTCTTTCTGGATATTACTTGTGCAAGAAGGGAATTAGAACATCGGACAGATTCTTTTTGATCAACAGGGGAAGAGATTCCTGTCAATGCCAATGGTTGCTTACTTGTAAGTGGAGCTTGAGGGACTTTCATGGACCCTACACAGCACCCACACTATTTATAGATGTGAAACTCTAGTTACATATTTGTAACTGCCCAACAAAATTCTGGCTTCTATCCCCAAGTGTTGAGTATGCTTGTATATACATCTTCAAGTATCCTGTTGACTTGTAGGAAATTTCATTGGGTTTTTAAAAAGAAAATTAATATTCAAAGATTATTTGTCAAGATATCTCATAATCATGCAGGCCACGTTGCTATGCATGATTCTGAAAGCTATACAGCAAAGAAGTGGTAGGAAATCAACTCATTTGAAACATGGTGCTGAAAAAGAGTTCTGTTAAAGAAACAAATGCATGTTTCTTAAAGCAATTTGAGAGATGTAGCCAACCTAAATTCGGGCCATTGTACTTTGGACATCTCGTAAGACACTGTGACAAGTAAACAAGAAGAAGAATTGTATCTATTGGAAATGCTGGGTGGCAATCTAGAAAGAAAAGCTGGGAAATTATTTATGCTCAGAGGTGGAAAGAACCAACTATCCTCATGCAAATAAGAATGGCTGACAAAGATCTGCTAACTAGCTAAAATGGGCAAACTGACAATGTTGATTGAGGAGAAGTTGATGGTGGAGGATCATCTCTTCAGTGTTGGTGGCTTTTGCTTCTTCCAGAACACTGATATTTGTCTATCTGTCTTCCCAGGAGATTTGCAGGATTTTTTAGAGGCAATGCTGACGGAATCGTTCCAGAAGTCAAGAGTGACATTTGTAGATAGTCCACATTTTGCAGGCGTATAATTGGGAAGACAATAATAATGCTGATTGTTCGTTCATTAGGCGATCCCTCGTAGTCCGAGGATGATGGTCCTCCAAGTTTGGTGTTCTGTTGGTGGGTCAGTAGGTAACTGTGGAGCCCAATTCTTGATCTGCATCTTCTCCCACAGTGAGGGCATTGGTTTCCAGATGGAAGGCGATCCCGGTCGGGGTTGGCTTGATGTGCCTTCCTCTTGGCACGTTTCTCTCTTTCACCCTCCATTCATGCCTTTTCAAAATCTGCAGCACTGCTGGTCACTGCTAACCTCCAGCTGGAGTGCTCAAGGGCCAGGGCTTCCCAATTCTCAGTGTCTATGCCAGAGTTTTTGATGCTGATAATAATATTGTGGCTCAAGACAGGTTACAACATTGCTAAAACACATAATCAAAACACATAATAATTTAAAAACACTCTGTAAAATACACATATTAAAGCATATTTCCATAAAATACATATTAAAATACACAAAACAAAAGTTATACATAGAGTTTAAGTTTAAAATTCATCATTAAAACTATCTGGGTACGCCTGCCGGAAGAGATAGGTCTTCACTTGTGCCTTAAATTCCGACAGTTGATCTACCAGCAGGTCGTTCCATAATCGTGGGGCGACCGATAAAGAGGTCCTCTGGATGATAGTTGTCAGTTGGGTTCTGGCAGGCTGGAGCAGACCAGAGGACTTCAGTATCCAGGGCAGATTGTACAGGAAAAGGCAATCGCATAGATAACCTGGATCCAAACCATGTAGGGCTTTAAAGGTCAATACCACAACACCTTGTACTTTATCAACAAACAACTTGGTATCCCTACAAATGCCCTGATCCTCAAACACTCTCTGCTTCATTCGGGGGGGGGGGGGGGGGGGGAAACAGCATTTAAAAATAGTAGGATAACAAGGGGTAAAAACCATCAGATATTGAGTGTGAGGTTAACCGATTTGTTTCCTTGTTTGTTTGTTTAATTTAGTTTGTGTGTGTAAATGTGCATTTTTTGTATTTATGGTTTGATGTAGTTTTTGTAGTTTGTTGTAAGGTAAAGGTAAAGGTAGTCCCCTGACATTAAGTCCAGTCATGTTTGACTCTGGGGTGTGGTGCTCATCTCCATTTCTAAGCCGAAGAGCCAGTGTTGTCTTTAGGCACCTCCAAGATCATGTGGCCGGCATGACTGCATGGAGCGCCGCGACCTTTCGATCAACAAGCTCAGCAGCTCAGTGCTTTAACCCACGGCGCCACCGGGGGCTCCTGTAGTTGTTGTTGTTGCTGTTGTTGTAGTTGCTAGAATATAGCTATGTAGTTTTAGCATTATATAGAATGAAATCTTTCTTTGTGTTGTTACTGCTTTTCTATTAAGTTCTCTTTTTCTTTTTCTTTTTTTGAATAAAAATACAAAAATTGGGTCATGATAAGTCAACAAATGGCCTGAAGGCACAGACAGAGAGACAGGGCCCTTCCACATAGCCATATAAACCAGAATATCAAGTCAGTTAATTCCTAATATCTGCTTTGAATTGGGTTATCTGAGTCCACACTGCCATATAATCCAGTTCAAAGAAGAAGATTTTATACAGCGATGTGGAATGTGCCAGAGAGAGCAGTAGAGGTGTGTGTGGTACTGTTTCATCCATTCTTTTGTTCCTTTTGTTTCATTCAGGAGCACAAAATGGGAACCCTCTCTGGAATGAAAATAACCTTGACACAAAAGCAAGCCAGAACGGGTACCATTTCCTTGTCTGCTTTTTGGGTCACCTGGGTACAGCATGCTATTTCCCTCTGAGGCCTGCCTATTGGACCAATCAGAGGAGAATACCATCAAGCAGGATAGATGGTTTTAACGGAGTGTTTTTCATTTGACGGCAATGGATTGAAGATGATTTTAATGGACTGTTTGAACTGGCTGCTATGATTTAATTTGGAGGATGACATGAAATGGTGTATTGTTTTAATTTATTTATATCTGTTTTTAATGTAGGTTAAATGTATTTTATGTTGTATATTGTTTGGCACCGAATGGTGCCTGCTGGTAGCCATCCCGAATCCCTCTTCGGAGGCGAGAAGGACAGGATAGAAATGTTCTTAATAAATAAATAATAATTAAATAAATAAATAAGCCTCACCTGCTGCCTGCTTTGCCTCACCCGCTGCCACTTGTCTCTTCTGCAGACTGAGGGGAGAGCATCTCAGGAGGAGTGGTATCTTAAGCCCTGTCTTTAAAACCAGTTCTCTTCTGCAGACCAAGGGGAAAGCATCACTGGAGGAGTGGTATCTTAAGTAACTGTGATGCTTTTAATCCAGGTCGTAATGAAAGATATAAGGACAAACCATGCCATTGCCAAAAATGATGGGAAAGGGAGGGGAATGCCCCTCATTGCCGCCAGTTAAAGAAAAAGGGAAATAGTGGGGCTTGTGTGTGGAGCATGTTTGACATTTGGTAGGATCGAATGGTGTCCTCCTTGCCTTGCCTCCCTCCTGCTGCTGGTCCTGGAGAAGTTTGAAGGCAAGGCTGGGGGGGGGGGGTTAAGGACATTTTATTTATAGGAAGAAAAGAAATCCCTAAAATTCAGGGGATTACCCAAATGTGTGGCAATTTTCACCCCCTCTAGCCCTAAAACTGAGGGGAAGGGGAGTCTGGGGAAGCCCACATGATTTCAGGTTCAGTTGAATGTGCACAAGCCATTCTGTTTACATTACACATTAACATACATTGTGGATTTTACGAAACTTTCCCCAACAATTGTAAATAATCTTTAAATGATTATGCAGTCAGGAGTGTCTTCTCCTTCCCTCGTAAAGGCCACAATACAATGCTAGTCAGGAAGAACTCTATGCACTCTGTTGAACATCATTTTGCCATGATATGTTTCGTTTGCCAGAGCAAACAGGGAACTTTAAGAAAGGCAGGAAGGAAAGGAAGAAGAAATACACTTTTCATGGTCCACTATCTCCATTTGCATTCCTCAGTTTAATTCTGGGGCTTCCCAGGAATGTATGGGGCCAGCACATCCCTTCTGAGCAAACCGGCCTAGTAGAATTGATTGGAAAAACCCAGCTCCCCAGTTCCACATTTGGGTCAAACATTTTTATTTTTTCAGATGTGGAATGAAAACACCCATTTGGAAAGGTGCCTGTTTTCAGGAGACGCGCAAAAATGAAAACGGGGGCTTACGAATGAAACAAACAGAAACGGATAGTAATTCTGTACGAATGCACAAAACTAGAGAGCAGTGGCCAAAAAAATGCCTTAAAGTACATTGCAAGCTTCCTTAATCAAACGAATACACTTTGACCAATCAACTGGCATTTCTTTGTCAGTTACTTATTACTATGAGTTTTCATTTAACAAAATAACAATTTTATATAATTTTTCCAGGGAGTTCAGTATTGCTTTCTGTTGCTGGATCTCAAAGACATTGCAGGGTGACACTTCCTTGGCTGAATAATTATAAAAACAGCAGGAAAAAAAGATTTAGTTTCAGCTTCACCTATTCCAATGCATAGCAGAGGTTCTATGTCAAGTTCTACTAAAATATAACCCAGATCTATTATTTGCAAGCACTTCAATAGGTGGCCAATCCAGTATCTATTGTGAAATTCCTGAGCTGATTTATGAATACTTGATGGCCAGGACAATAAAGCAAGACATATATCAGAAAGGGACAACAAAAGTGGGAGAAACGCTTGCAGTTTGTCAACAAAATGTGATGCATGGTAGGGGGAGAGGTTCTGCTTGCCTTGTGCTTTCCTCTGTCTCCAAAGCATTCAGAGAAAACTTCATGACTGCCTGGTCAATTAGGTCTAGGCATGGTAGGCAAGATTTAGATGATTTGGGAAGTGATTCTTAATTATGTCTCTTTGCAGATGGAAGCCGGAAGATGGAAGGGTACAGACCACCAGACCACACTTTTATCCTGTTATCTGATGCAAATGAGGCAGCCTGGAAGGCTATCAAAGCAAGGGAGGAAAGATTTATGTCTTTTACTGACCATCTGCAAAGCAACTGCTACAACAACAACAAGCTGAAACACCGGTTTTCCGCTTTACCAGCTCTGTGAATAACCATATAAATTTCTAAAACGTTTTTAAGGCTCGCTGAAAGGGAAGAATTCATCCCCCAAGACTTGGGCAGCAGCCGTAGCAGCATATGGTCTGTTGGAATCGCTAGCAGCAGTGTGTTTGTGTGTGTGTGTTAGCCTCTTAGGGGAAAATGGAGAGGAAGACAGTAACTTTATGAGTAATTTAGGAAACAAGAGGGCTTTAAAATGCTGTCAAAGGCAGTAACTCCCAGAAAAGGAAGATGATCTTCATTTCATTGCTGAAAAGTTTGAATGGGGCCCGATTCATTGATAGCGTTCAGTTTTCTAAGAGTGGAAAAATGAAAGCTTTTGGGCCTTTGGAAACTGAGGTTATTTGGCTCACAATTTCATCTCAAATGCCAGAGAGAATATTAAAKTGCCCAGGGCACTGGAAAAATGTGGAAATGGGGAGCTGGGTTTTTCCAATCAATTCTACTAGGCCGGTTTGCTCAGAAGGGATGTGCTGGCCCCATACATTCCTGGGAAGCCCCAGAATTAAACTGAGGAATGCAAATGGAGATAGTGGACCATGAAAAGTGTATTTCTTCTTCCTTTCCTTCCTGCCTTTCTTAAAGTTCCCTGTTTGCTCTGGCAAAYGAAACATATCATGGCAARATGATGTTCAACAGAGTGCATAGAGTTCTTCCTGACTAGCATTGTATTGTGGCCTTTACGAGGGAAGGAGAAGACACTCCTGACTGCATAATCATTTAAAGATTATTTACAATTGTTGGGGAAAGTTTCATAAAATCCACAATGTATGTTAATGTGTAATGTAAACAGAATGGCTTGTGCACATTCAACTGAACCTGAAATCATTAGGAACATGTTCTATAGTGAAGCAAACCTGTTTTTGTCACCAGGGCTTTACATTATTGAGGTATTATGGTCACTTTCAGACTTTTCTCCTAAGACCACGATTTTCTTCAGAAAAGTCCCATTGTTTAAAAAAATGCTTGGTCAATGCCAGCCCTTCCTTAAATCAGATAAAAATGAAGAATTGCCTTCTTATAGAGGGGACTCTCTTACTTGCCCCAAATGTGTAAAGTCATACAAGAAAATGAGGCCATACTTCCCAGATATTCAGCATTCATTTCTAAAAGAGCAGAATTAGGAAAAGTTACTTTTTGGACAAGACCAATCCTCAGAATGGCTAGAGGAATTCTGAGAACAATGTCCAAAAAGTAACTTTTTAAGGTGTGTAAGAAAGAATGGCGGTCTGGGGGAGGAGGGTCCAATATATGTCATTCCTTCACATTTCTCTGCATTTTAGACCAACCTTTCCTAGAAAAAAATATTATCAGGAATGTAAGGATCACAGTCTTTTTTCTAGCAACCTCTTTCTGAAAAGCAAAGAAAGCATGATTCATCTGGCCCTGAAATTAAAATTGCGCCTGGAATCCACAAGCAGGTTACTTTGGGATATCACATTTTCACTCCAGACAACTTTGTTTGTTTGGTGCTACAGCTATGGAATTCTCTCCCCCCACAGTAACATTCAGGCATCAGAAAAACCTGTCTTTTAATGTACTTTGCCATTTTAATTGCTTAAAGTGATTGTATCAATCTTGTAGTCCATCAGATGTTCCAAGCCCCAGCAACCCTTACCAGCACAGCCCATGGTGAGGAACACTGGGAGTTGTAGTCTAGCAACATCCGCTCCGAGTCGCCTCTGGGCTGAGAGGGCCGGTATATAAATATAGTAAATAAATAAATAAATAAACATCTGGAGAAGCACAGGCTTTCCCTTTCCCAAGTTCATAATGTTATAAGGTTTTCTCATCTCCTTTGATGCATGTAGTGTACTGTTTGCTTTGTGCTGGTAACGTGCTTGAAATCATGATATTGCAAACCTCCAAATGAAATAAGCAAACAAACTAGGGTTATTTAGTGACTGTGATTTCACCTTCTCCACCCCCGCCCCCACCTCATCCTGGGGGGGGATTAAGGAGAGTTGTAATTTGTGGTGTTGTTTTGGTAAAAGGATCCGCTTCTTGAACAAACAAAAGATATAAACCCTCCTGGTTAAGGAGCATGAAGCTAATAATAGTGTGCCCTAGATGCCAGCCATTGTACTGATTTCCATACAATGCTAATGTCCTTTACAGAAGTCAGACACATTCACTTTTTTTTAATAGGGCTCCTGTTATTACTCTGTCATAAAGAGCAAAGCCCCAAGGACATGAGTATCTCTCATCATTCAGTAAGAGCGGTATTTAATCATCTTAGAGCTGCCGCAAACTAGCCTCCTGCGAGAGCAAACTGTGCCAGCAGGTCCATGACGTCATGAGACTCCACCTCTCTCTCCGCCTCTTTCTCCGCCTCTTTCTCCGTGCCAGCATGGTTTTTCTATTTGCTAGGGCAGCTATGCTAGCGTACTCTCGCTGTTGGCAGAATTCAAAAGAGGCGGAGAGAGAGGCGGAGTCTCATGACGTCATGGACCTGCTGGCACAGTTTGCTCTCGCAGGAGGCTAGTTTGCGGCGGCTCTTAGACTTCTTGATCTCTCATCATCATCATCATCATCATCATCATCATCATCATCATCCATCATCAGCGACCACTTCTTTCCGAGTATGATTGCCTTCCAAGTGTAGGGTCTTGGCAGTAGGTCACAGTTTTTAAGGTTGGCTTTAAGCTCACCTTTAAATCTCTTTTCCTGTCCACCAACATTCCATTTTCCATTCTTGAGCTGGGAGCATAGTAACTGCTTTGGGAGATGGTGATTGGGCATTTGGACAACTTGGCCAGTCCAGAGAAGTTGATGGAAATGGATCATCACTTCAATCCTGGTGGTCTTTGTTTCTTCCAGCACATTGACATTTGTCTGCCTGTCTTCCCAAGATTTTCAGAGATAATGCTATGGAATCATCTGTAGATGGTTCATGTTTTGTATGCATATAACAGAGTTGGGAGGACAATAGCTTTATAAACAAGCACCTTGGTCTCCCTACAAAAGTCCTGATCCTCAAACACTCTCTGCTCTGTGAGTGCAGCATCTTTCTGTACTCACAGAGCTCAGGTGGTATTGCATTTCAGTGTCAATGTTGACTTTTATGAAGAGATGGCTGCCAAGGTAGCAGAAATTGTTAACACTATCATGCAGTGAAGACAATATCCACTGTAGGGGTGGAAGCTGTTCTGGAATTCTGGAAGCATGTCTTCTGAGATAGGTAGAAGGCAGTTTGCAAGGATTCTTGCGAAGATTTTCCCAGCTGTGGTTCTCTGTTCTTTTCCCCTTTTTGAAAAGTGTGATGATGGTGGCATCTTTGAAGTCTGCTGAGATTTTCTCAGTCGCCCACACTTTTTCAATGAGCTGGTGGAGTTGTTGTGTCAATTCATATCCACCCTCTTTAAAGACTGCAGTAGGATTCTATCAGGTTAACTGGCTTTGTTATTTTTTTGGTTGGCTGATGGCTTTGCTGATTTCCTCCAAACTAGGTAGTGCTGCAAGCCCCTCCCTGGTTTGTTTTTTCAGGGTTTGTAAGATAACCTCTTTGACCACTTTGGAGCTGCGGTTAAGGAAGTTGTGGTCATGCTCTTTCCAAAGTAATGCAATGGATTTTTTTTTATCCTTTAGAAGTTTGGTTCCATCTGATGAACATAGAGAGTATATGCCAAGATTTCTTGGGCAATAGATGCCCTTTGTGGCGTTAAATAATCCCCATGCATCATGGACAGATGTCGGATTTCTTGAGCCTTTTTGTCCACAAGATATTATTGAGTTCTCTGGTCTTTCTTTGGACCTCAGTTTTTACACTAGCATACATCTTTTTCTTAGCAATGCAGTTGGTGTCTCTCTGCAATATTTGGAAGGCAAATAACTGTTGGAGTTCTGTATCATTTTTATCAAACCAGTCTTGATGTTTCTTAGTTTGGTATCCAATGATTTCCTCACAGGCTGTGATGATGGGGGTCTTCAGTTTATTCCAATGTTCCTCAAAGTTTCAGGGTGCTCTATGGGTAGATGATCCTTGAGTGTTTTTTGGAGAAGGGCTCATTTGGAGGGCTCTTCAGGGGCTTAGATGCTCATTTGACACATTATCTTTCTTCTTTGGAATCTGTGTTTTGGGTAGTCTTGATGGCCATTGTAGATTGGGTTAACATGTGGTCTGTCCAAAAGTCATCAGTACCTGTCATGGCTCTTCTGAGGAGCACATATAATCACATAGTCTATGAGGTGCAAATGCTTTGACAGGGGGTGCTTCCATGATATCTCAAGCTTGTTTGTCTGGCAGATTAGTGTGTTTCTGATGATAAGGTTGTGTTCTGCACATTTGGTGAGAAGCAGGATACCATTTGAGTTGCTGTTTCCAACCTCATATTTTCCCATGGTCCCTGGCCATAGGTCAAAGTTTTGTCAAACTCTTGCATTAAAGTCACCCAGGAGGATGATTTTGTCCACTTTAAGAATCTCAGACAGGATGGTGTCCACCTGACAGTAATTTTCTTTCTTGATGTCTTCATCAGAATCTAGTGTTGGTGCATAGGCACTTATGATGGTTGCCTGTTGGTTTTTGGCAAGGTTAATTCAGAGGGTTGAGAGCCGCTCGTTAATGCCAATGGGTGCTTCAGACAGATGCTTCACCAGGTCATTTCTGATAGCAAAACTGTTTCCGTGTATTCTTTATTCTTCTTCAGGCAGTCCCTTCCAGAAGAAGGTGTAGCCTCCATTTTTTTCCTTCATCTGTCCCTCTCTTGTTCTGTGGGTCTCTTGAAGGGCTACTATGTTTATGTCAAAGCATCCCAGCTCCCTTGCAATAATAGCAGGACATTCAGGACATTCACGTTTGTGTTGTCCAACAATGTCCATACGATACATGTTCTGAAGTTCATTTATCTTTTTTGGCTGTATGGTGGTGATCCCTCTGGATGCAGCAGTCCAGTCAGGGATAAGAGAGGAAGACTATGTTTAGGATACCTTTTCTAGCCTCCTCCGCATATGGGGTGAGCAGAGTGGATCCTAAATAGGGCGATTCAGTCATGGATACAGCTGCTGGACTACTCAACTACCTTGGACCTTGAGGTAGAATGACTGAATCCATATCCTTCACCCATGAACCAGTCTGTGACTAGAGGTTTCCTGATTTCACAGTCCTGTCCCCATTGCCACTCGCATATAACCATGGAACTTTTACTTTATTTTTCTTGGAAGACACCTGGATGTGAGGGTTTTTTTTAATGTCCGGAGGTCAGTGAAGAGCTGATCAACACACAGTCTTCACAGAATGAGGGTTCCATTCAGTGGCATGATTAACACAACAATGGTGGCTTCTCATCTGTTGCAGCCTTTTTCTGCCTTCACAGCCAGTGTAACATGTACCATGTTGTCATGCATCCACCATTGAGATCTTCAGATTGTTATTGGTCTGGATCCTCCCCTGTGGCCCTTCCTGGCAGTACATGACTTGGATGGTAATGTCTGCAGGTTCATTGGAACACATAAGCCCCCTGCGAAGGGGTTGCCCCACTTCAAAGAAAAGGGGTTTCAGGAGAGAGAAGTTACGATTTATTATTTATTATTCTTAATGGAGCCACCAATTTGTGATGTGAGGTAATTTGGGAGATTGGGCACACTGAACGCCGAACTAATGGAGATGAGGCAGTCTTAAAATCAAAGAGAACAAGTTTATTTTGAAACAAAGCGTATGGTTGCAGTTTGGTGATAAACTTGGAAGATACTTGGAGAACGTTACATATAACTTGGTTGCGATACAGTTCAGACTTCTGATGTTACAACTTATAAATAACCTTTGCTGTGGTGAAGCACTTTATTAAACAATGTTTCCTGAGGTGAATAGTCTTCCTGTTTGATCCTTCCGTGATCAAACCTCAGATCTCTAGTTCACTTTTAACTAGTGATCTAAACAAGCTTCTATTAGTCTTCTCTAACTAATGAAACTAATAAGGTTTCCCCTTCAGCCTTCCTAAACTGAAGAAACCTCTGACTATTCACAAACACTGCTTCTCTACTTCCCACTCTCTCTCTCTCAACACTTCATTTCCCTGAGCCTAAAACCTGACTCTTCATTCCTCTGAGCCTAAACCCTAAACTAACTGTTCACTCCTCGGAACCTAAAACCTAACTGACTTTAACTGTCGCTTTTCAAAACTCTCCTCTCTAAGCTCCTCCCACTTCTCTACAGCATCGTTTCCATGGTAACACACTCCTCACAGCTAGGCCGCTCCAGCATTAGGGCAACCAGTGCAAACACAAATACAGTTATAATCATATCATTTACAATCAACTTCTGTACACCCCTCACCATGACATGGTGACAATCCATCCAGGGGGTCTTGATCTCTACCAAGTAAAAGCAGTCCACACTTATGTAATAATTTTATTAGAGCTAGCCAAAGTACCACAAAAGTATGCAAGTTTTCAAGTTCTCTGGAATTTATCATCAAGCCAGGCAGATTTTTTTAAAAAGCAAAGAATG